TAGAGCCCGGAGAACTCCCAGCTGTGAGCGTCAGTTTGCTCCCCTGTGCATTGGGTGCAGGATGGTCGCCTGTCGTTTAACGGGCGTGTGGAAGCGAGGCCTGGTGCGCAGAAAGTATTCAGCGCGCGTTGGCTGTTTTGGCTATTACTGTCCTCTTTAATAGAACTCGGGTTGGGGGCGGCAAGGCAAAGGAGGTGAAAACCCCAGCTTTGCAAGAAGGCAGCGCCGGGTGCAAATCGCGGCGCCATGGAGGGCTGGCATTTCTTCACCCTGGGCCTCTCCCCTGTGCGGTGGTCACAGTGCTAGCACTTTGCCCCCAGACGGGTAAGGGCTCAGTGCCGTGGGACACCTGTAAAGCGCTGAGAACAGCGCCGGGCACAAATAAACGTTAGCGGCCCTGGCCACTGTCGTCATTTTTGTGGTTGTCTTTAAGTGCAATTTCCTATGTGTACGTGGGTAGAGTTGAGTTTACAAAGAAGTTACAGAGACTAAACTGGTTTTGGTGGGCTCGGATCTGAGCCTGAATTCCACTCCACGTGCCAACTAGCCCTGTAATCCTGAGCAAATTGTTGAGTGTGCCCGGAGCCTCGGTTTTCTCAGACCTGGGCGCCAGCGGCCTGCTTCCTCCATCTGGCGGCGGGAGGGGGAGAGTGTCTCGTGGTGTCTCAGACTCAGCATGTCTGAAACCAAGCGCCTGATCCTCCCCTCCTGCCGCCCCCACCCCAGGATCCTGCCACAGACTCCATTCAGGCAGACTGTTCTCCTACATGCTCCGGGGCGTTCTTGATTCTGCCGTCTCTCTCACATCCTGGTCTGGTCCCCGCCTGTTTGCCCTTAACATCAATCAGAATCCATCCGCCCACCGGGAACGGTGCCCTCGTGTCCTCCCTGTGGGTGCCTGTGAGCCCCAAGGCAGGTCCTGTCTCTCTTCTGCTCAGAACGGTCCATGGCTCCCAGCTCTCAGGAAGAGCCCCCGTCCCCCCTCCGGCCACAGGGCCCTGCAGGATCTGAGCTTGTCACCTCCTCTTCTTCCCCTGCTCAGTCCCTCCAGCCCCCCTGGCCCATCAGTTGCTCCCTGTCCCACTCAGAACTTTTGCCCTGGCTGTTTTCTCGGCCAGATTCTTTTCCCAGAATGCTCTGAGGCTCCCTTCCTCAGTTGTCTGACTGCGGGCCTGGCTTCTGAGCGCCCCCCCGGGGGCCCCAGCTGTGGCTGGTTAGCTTGTTTACTTTCCCCATGGCAGCTGTTATTGTTTGTCGTCACTTAACAGTTGAACAGAGCGCGTCATGGACGTGGATGCTGTCCCCACAGGCACTGTCGGCTCCGTGAGGGCAGAGGCGTTTCTGCGCCCAGCGTGTGGTGGTGGTCCTGGTGCTCGTGGTCACTGGCAGTCATAGGCAGGAGAGGAGGCTGTTTGGGGATATGATTAAGCTAGTAGTTTTGGACCCAACGCGCTTGGGTTCGGAGCCCAAGTTCTGCATCTGCCAAGCGGAGATGACATGGGACAGGAGGGGCTGGCGCCCAGAGGCTGAGACCAGGGGCTCTGGGCACGCAGGGGTCCAGTCTCCCGTCACTCACGGGGTTTGGGGACGCTAGGCAAGTGCCTCCTTCCTGCCGAGCGTCAGTTTTCCCCTCTGTAAGATGGGGACGAGCAGAGGCTTAGAAGCTAAGGTCTAGAGGTGGGAAGGGGTTTTTTGGGTGTAAGATTTGAGACTGCGGAGCAGAAGCAGAACTTGAACTCCAGCCGCCAGGCTCAGGTGCTGTGTCGAGGGGAGCTGCAGGTGCAGCCCCCGCAGCTCACGGCAGAGAGAGGGCGGCAGGGCCCTCCGCCTCGGGGTGCGGTCTGATGGCCCCCTGGTTGCCCCGCAGGACCTGGAGGTCGGGATCCGGAAGAAGATCGAGCACGACGTGGTGATGAAAGCCAGCAGCAGCCTGCCCAAGAAGCTGGCACTGCTGAAGGCGCCCGCCGGGAAGAAGGAGGCGGCCTCCGCCACCAGGACGCCTGCCTGAGGCCTCCAGCCCTGCGGGGCCGTCACCACAGCCTCCACGGCCCCGCTCAGACTGTGCAGGGGCCCCCGGGCCGCACTGAGGGGAGGAGTTGCCACCCTCCCAGAGCTTCCGGTTGTGCCTAGAGCTTCAGGCGGGGCCGCCTGGCCCGGTAGCAGACGATCGGATCAGCAGGTCCCTAGCGCTGGACGGCTTCCGGAGTGCCGGGGACTCAGCGGAGCCAGGAGGAGACGCTCAGCAGCTCCCTGTGTCCCCTCCCCTCGCTGGGTCCTGTCTCCACAGGTTTAAGCCTGAGCAATAAACCTGACTTTGTGGTTCCTCCTGTGTCGCGGGGTCCTGTGAGTGGGCCAGTGCTGGCTCAGCTCGGCGCTCTCCCTCCCAGCCTGGCTGACTCACACCAGCCTCCCTGCTCACCTGCACGCCCTCCACAGACACGCCCAGGTCACCCGCTCTGCCAGGCGTCCTAGGGAGCCGCTGCCCCTTCCGTGGGACGTGTGCCGCCACTGCCTCGTAGGGTCCCGGTGCTGATTAAACCAGGGTGCACTGAGGAACCGCTCGGCGACACCTCGATTTTTAAGAAAGTCATGACAGCTAGTGGTTGTGTAGCACTGTGATGCCCGGGCACTGTTCTAGTGCTTTCCACACAGCACTGCGACCCTCAGTGACACCCAGGTTAGGTCAGGTCATTGACATTCCAGAGTCGGCACGTGAACCCGCCACTGGCACAGCCCCAGGGCATGCTCTCAGCTGACCATCCACGCCCTCCCACGCTTGCCAGACCAGGATTTCCTCCTGTTCCCTCCAGGGGTCCCCTCCCTTGGAGCGTCACTCAGCTCCCCTGGACTGGACGGTGCCCGTGGAAGCGGCAGGGGCTCTGCCTCGTGACTTTCCTTCCTCCCTCTGTCGAGGGGCGGGGCCGGGTCACAGCTCAGGGACTGACCAGGGGCTGCGGTCTGGGTGACACTGAGCTGCTGCCTTTGGGGGGAGGTGGTGGGCACCTGTGGGTGCAGTGGGCTGCTCCCCCAAGGTGGGTGACTGGTCTCCTGCTGGCCCATCTTTTCCCAGCCAGCCTCACCCACCTCAGATGTGTTTTCTTGGCCCCACACAGTGGTATTCAAAATTTCTTGATCTTAGGCCAGCCATGGTGGCCTAGTGGTTAAGTTTGGTGCTATCCACGTCAGTGGCCGAGGTTTGGTTCCCGGGCTCAGACCTATGCCACTCATCTGTCAGTGGCCATGCTGTGGTGGCGACCCACACACACAAAGAGGAAGATGGGCACAGATGTTAGCTCAGGGTGAATCTTCCTCAGCAAACAAAAATTTGCTGAATTAGCAACATTTTTTTTAAAGGCAGGGGACCACCACGGTGGAAGACAGTTCAGTGGCTTCTCAGTAAGTTCAATGTGGACTTACCACATGACCCAGCAATTGCACTCCTAGGCATGTACCCAGAAGAATTGAAAAGAGATTTGAACGATAACTTGTACACATGTGGTCACTATTCACAGTGGCCAGAAAATGGAAACAACCCACATGTCCATCAACGGGTGAACAGGTAAGAAAATGTGGTCCATCCATACAAGGGAATATTATTCAGCCATCAAAAGGGAGGAAGCTCTGATTCAGGCTACAACGTGGATGAGCCTCAAAAACATGCTGAGGGAAAGAAGCCAGGCACAAAAGGCCATGTGGTTTATGACCCTGGTGACCTGAAATGTGCAGAACGGTAGATCAGATCAGTGGTTGCCAGGGGGGAAGGGGAGTGACTGCTCACTGGGATGGAGTCATCTTTGGAGGCGATAGAAATGTTCTGGAAAATAGAGGTGGTTGTGAAACATTGTGAGTGTACTAAATGGCACTGAATTGTGTAAATGATGGATTTTATATGTGAGTTTTAACCATCAAAAAAAAAAAAACGGAGAGCAGTTTCAGGAAGAAAATCCTAATTGACGTCTGGAGAAATCGGGCATGGTGGCAGCAGAGCGGGCGGTTGAGGGAGGGCCGTGGCGTTTGGGACGGTGGGACTGGCCGGGGCTGGCGCTCAGGCTCGGCGGGGAGGAGGGCAGGAGGGCAGGAGGGCAGGGCCGCTGCGTGGCTGCCTGACCCCGAGGCACACCCTTCCTTGGGCCGTCCTGTCAGCAGCTTCTCCCCTCGGCAGGCAGGGGGTAACTTCTGCCCTCTGAGACCGAGCCAGTTTGCCCTTGGGGCATGTATTATACACCAACTGTGTGCACAATCCCGTCCACACTGGGCTGGGAGGAGCTGAGAGCTGAGGTTCTAGGGGGCAGAACAGGAAGCCCCGGGCCGCCCCTCCGGACCCCCACCTCCTCCCCGTCCTGCCGCCTGGCCTCTTGCACCTGCGGTTCCCTGCTCCTCCCAGACGTCACCTCCGGGAGCCCTTCTCTGTGCCCCGCTCCCGGGAGCGGTCACTGCGCCCCTCGAGCCCGTCGGCTCTGCCTCCCGAGGCCGGGTCCCCGCCGGGCGCTCTGCCGCGTCTGCGGCGCCCGGGACGGCGCACAGCGGTGCCCCAGCAGCAGGCTCTGTGGAAGGAGGGAGACGGCGCTGCGCTCCCGCGCGTCGGCAGTGCCCGTGCCGTGCGTCACCCTACAGCGCGCCCTCCCGGGGCCCCGACCCGCGGCTGCGTCCCCGAGCTGCTGGCGCGGCCCCCTCACCTGGAAGCCGCGCACGACCCCGCCGCTCTGCGCACGCGCCGTCCCGTCCCGCCCCGCAGAGGTCGCGGCCCCAACCCTCCGCCGCGGGAACACCTGTCTCCCCGCTCGCTGCGTTACTCAGAGTCCGATCCGTGAAGCCGCCGGTTTTCCAGACTCCTTTGAACCGCGTATAACATCTGCCTGGGCCCCACGGGAGTTCAACACAGACTTTAACACGTGTTCATCTTTCTCTGTCAGAGTCATGATTTCACCCTCTTTGGAAAATTTTTTTTAACGTTTCCGTCTGGAATCTCAGAAGGCCGGGGGCCGGGACAGGGTGGGCTCTGGGAGCCCTCTGGTCCCTCCTTCCGCCACCAGGAGGCGCCTTGCACCCGGGCCCAGCCCGCGGGCGGCGGCTGGCGGCGCCCCGGCGCCAAGGGCTCCCGTCGGCGGGCTCCCTTTGTCCTTCTGACGCCAGCCCCTCTGAGGAGGACCGCAGGGGCGAGGGAGGGCATTCAGGCTCGACAGGTACGGGGTCTGGAATGTGAACCCACTCGTTCCCCTCCCCCGAGCCCCCCGCCGCCCCAGACTGCCTCGTGTTCCCACCACCGCCCTGGGTGACTCTGCCGCCCCAGCTCTCTCCTTCCGCCTGCCCCCCACTGGTGCTGGCGCAGAGAGCCCCCGAGTCCGGAAAACCCCCCATCTCGAGTTCTGTGCCAGTTTCTGCCCTTCCTGGCTGTGTGACCTTCCGCAAGTCCCTTCACCTCTCTGAGCCTCAGTTTCCCCATGTTAAATGGGGATCCTAATACCGCCCCCCAGGGTGGAGGATCCGGAGCCTGAAAGCCGAGGGCCTTCAGGTGTGATTGTGAGCTGCCCTTGTGTCCTAGGGGGAGAGGGGAGCCCACGTCCAGCCGCTCGGCCGTCTTCTCTCTGCCTGTCCCCCCACCCAGCCCTCAGGGCCAGGGCAGTCACTGAATGTGGCTTTTCGGACACAATTCTTCCTGCCCCAGCCTTTTCCGCTCCTGCTGTCACCTTCCCCCTCCGCCTGGAATGCCCGTTTTTCCGGGCAGGGCCCTGACACTTTACCCGGGAACTGGTGTTCCAAGAGGGAAGAAAAGAAACGTCAGAAGCACACCTTGCCAGCGGGGCAGGCCGGAGGGGCTGTGTCGGGACCAGGAAGCGACACGTCCCGGCCAGTTTCCTGCCTGAGTCAACCGGGCGTGGATGCTGCGGGGGGCTGGCAGAGGGAGGGCCCTCATGGAAAGTGAGGGTGGGGATGCCCACAGAGCTGGGGGCCGTGTCCCCCCATCTTAGCTCCAGGGTCACCCTGTTTCCCATGGACCTCGAGGACACGTGGGTTTGGGGTCAGGAGCGGTGGATGCCTAGACAGTGAGCTCACGGCAGGCGGGCGGGATAACTATGCCTTCTGTCTCCCTGAAGCCCAAGCTCGCCGGCTGCACCGAGAAAGGCGGACACGCGGGGGGCCGGAACCCCCCTCGCAACCTCTCCCTTCCTAAAAGTATTACTTGGAAGGGGCAGGTTTGAAATAGGCCTAGAGACTTCATCCTGGGGGCACCCCCTTCTTCCCAGGGCACTCTGACATCACACATTCTCCCGGGATTGCTGTGTGGCCTAGGGCAACTTTCTGACCCACTCTGGGCCCCATTCCCCTCATCTGTAAAACCAGAATAGAGTTGGAATAGAATCTCAGTGTTTCCCAAACTCTGCATTTGATCCCCAGCCAATGTGACAGAACCAGCCCACCTACCCGGGCTAGAATGCTGGCCCTCCCCTTTCCTGCTCTGGACCTGGGGCAAGTTGCCTCTCTGTGCCTCTGTTTTCTCATCCGTGAACATGCGGACAGTGAACAATGTTAGTATCTATTGTTAGAGAGGGAATAAAATAAAATAAAACATCCATTCCCTGCTCCTCCTCCACATCCGCTGTTCCACTGGCCTGGAGGGGCTTCTCTGATTCAGCGTCTCAGGCCGCCCGCTGAAGCATCCTCGGGGATGGGGAGCTGGGCTTAGCTGACACAGCCTCAGACCAGATGCTGAAGCGTCCCTGGGCCCCGTTTGCAAGGGAAGCACCTGAAAGACGTTTTTCTCCCGAGTCCTCCCTGCCTCTCCCCTCTACCCGTTATTTCGTCCCCATCAGTCTGCTTCTCACGTCCTGTGCAAGAAACGGACGCTGCAGGAAGTCTGGGGCCTCCCAGTCAGGGTGAGCTCAGGCAAGGACGCCCCCTCTCCGAGCCTCAGTTTCCTCGCTTGAGGAATGGAGACGCCCGTCCCCACTTTGCAGGCTGTTGGAAGGCTTAAACCCGGTCCTGCATCTGGACGGCTGGAGCACCACATAAGCAGTAGTACACCGTTATTATTGCCGTTTCTGTTGTCATTGTCACAGGCCACCGCTGTCAAATAGAAATTACAGTGCGAGTGGCATATGTGACTTTAAATGTCCTGAGGCCACCCAGAATAAAATAAATAAAAAACAGGTGGGATTCATTTCAATAATGTGTTTTATTGAACCCAAGTTTATCTAAATTATTATCAATATTTCAACACGTGATCAACATTAAAAATTCTTAATGAGAAATCTTACCTTTTTTTTTCCTACTGAGTCTCCGAAGTCCGCTGTTTCCCGTTTGTAACACAGCCCAGTTCAGGCCGGCCCCATTTCAAGGACGAAAGGCCACTGGTGGCCGGTGGTGACGTCCGAACAGCGCGGGTCAGAGGGAGATTACTGAATGGTGGGCTGGGGACCGGCCAGGAAGTGCAGCTGTGGAACTGGAAATTCCTGGAAGGAAAAGGCCAGAGTTTGCATATGGAAGGGGGTGGCGGCGAGCAGGCCGCTTAGGGGCCACCTGGGGTTTTCCTGCGCTGTAGGTCATTTCACCGGGACGGGGGCAAAGCCTTACAGACGGAGGGACTGCCGTGCGCCCGGCGCTCTCCCGGTGCTGGCGGCACAGCCGCGCGGGTGCGCCCAGCCCCGCCCCGGGGGCTCCGGGCGGAGGGAGGAGGCAGAAATCAGCGTAATGAGAACGCAGGGAAGACGGGCGGCGGGGAAAGGCAGGGTGCTCCGAGGACGCGGAGACGAAGGATGCGGGGGCGGCGCCGGCTTCCGAGCCGGAGAGGGTGGCCCGGACCAACTGGGTCAGAAAAAACCAGAGGTGCTCGGATTGGACACGTATTACGTTGAATCTTATGATATTGCCATTTTAGTAGGTCAAAAATCAACAATTTCATATGACAACTTAATGGTTAGGGCACAGAATGGATCGGAGGTTCTTAGCTTGGGGCTCAAGGAGGGGCTTGAACTGGGCTCTATTTCTAGAGAGGATCCGCAGCCCCCATGAGCTCCACCAAGGGGCCTGTGATCCCCCCCACCCCCCAAAGCACCACAACTTGACTCGGTGCCCAGAGAGGCTGAGAGAGTTTCTCGCGTCACACAGCCAGAGGGAGGAGGGGCTGAGCTGCTGCCCGGGGATCCCGCGGCTCTGTCTCGCTCCCCGGCCGAGCCGTGTTGATTGTCCCCTCGCGGCGCCCGGAAGCGACCCTCAGTAAACAAAGCCGTGTGTGGGCGCAGCCCCAGCTGCCCCGGGCGCGCTGTCCAGCCCGAGGGGGGCGGAGAAGGAATGTTGTGAATGAACCCAGGGCCCGCCCCGAAACTCCGCAGACGGCCCACTCCGCAGGGGTCCTCCCACTGTGATTGGTCGACGCCGCCCCGTGATTGACAGCGCCGCTCGCTGAGCGCTCTGATTGGGACGTCTCGGAAAGACAGGCAGCTCATGCAACGAATGAGCAGCGGAACTCGGAAACGGGTCTGGAGGTTCCGCCAGTGGCGGAGGAGAGCTTCGGAGGCCGAGGGGGGTGCCAATGGGGACGGGCGGCGGGGGCGGGACGACAGCGGAGGATAAAGCGGCGGCCGAGGCAGCTTCATTGTTGTGAAGAGTTTTAAAGGGGCCGCATCGCCCGGCCGCCCGGCGCGGGGCGGGGGTGGGTGCGGCGGGGGTCCCCGGGCGGCCGAGCGCGGAGGAAGGCCAAGAAGGCGGGCAGGGGTCGCGGGAGCCGGCGAAGCGGAGCGGGTATCTGGCCGACCCCCCAACAGACCCCGCCCCGGCCCCGGCCCGGCCGGATGGACCCCCCCGCGGTCAAGCGGAGCCGGGGCTGCCCCGCGGCACCGGAGGAGCGCGATGCCGGGGCCGGGGCCGTGCGCGGCCGGGGCCGGCCCGAGGCGCTGCTGGACCTCAGCGCCAAGCGAGTAGCCGAGAGCTGGGCCTTCGAGCAGGTGACCAAGGGAGGGAGGGGGGAGGGACGCACTCCCAGCCTCCTCCCGGACAAGCCTTCTCCTCCCCCTGCCCAACCCCAGACTCCGGACCTGCCGCCGTCGGAGACACCCCGGAGATCCCCTCCAAGATCCTTAACCCTGCCCCGAGACACTCCTCGTCCTCCCATCTCACTCCTTCAAACCCTGTGACCCACCCCAGCCCTGCTCGCCGGCCCTGCCCCCAGACCACAAGATCCGGGATGGCTCAGCGCCCCAGACCCCAGCTCAGGACGCTTCCTTCGCCTCCTGCCCCGTGGTCCCCTCACAACCCTGGGCACCCCTTTTTCCCACTTTATCCTCTTCGTCCAGTTAGGGCGCCCCATTCAACCCTCACTCCTCTCTCCAACTCCTACAAGCCGCCCCCAATTGGGGGCACCCCGATTCTCAGCCCCTCGAGTCTCACACTCCCCTATTCTTGTCCCCCAGATCTGTCCTCCTCCCACGAAAGGACTCCCCCATTTCTACAGCTCTCAGCCTCAAGACATCCTTTCTGCCCCCCAGCCTCCAGAACCCACCTGTCCCATGGGGATCCCCCTCATCTCCAGATCCTTCCCTCAGGCCCTGCCCCTCATCCCCCACTCACCTTTCCCGGCTCCCCCATCCCAGTCCTCCCGGAGGTTGGCAGCAGGGACTGGGCCTGGTCTGCACCTGGACAGTGCACCTGGAACCCCGCCTCTGCAGCTTCTAGGGGCTCTGCCAGGGTGCCCCAGGGCTGGGTCAGTTGAAGTTCCCTTTCCCAGCCTCACTGTGGGCCCCCGAGGAGCTGCAGATGGGGCCTGGACCTGACGTGCCTTGTGCAGCCCCACGGGCTCTGCCCTCTGTCTGGCTTTGCGGGGCGTCCGTCCCTTGCTCCCCAGCCTCTCAGAGTTAGGGATTCTGCCGGGACCGATGGGTCTGGGCCAAGCGTGACTGGGGCAGGCTCTGATTCACGGCCTGGAAAATCCCTCCTTAGTCATCTGCCAACTGTCCCTGAGGCCTGGGCCGGTCACTGGCCCTCCCACTTTCCCCCGAAACCCCGGACTGGGGGCTCTGCAGGGCCCCCGCCCCTTCGTTGTGTGTGAGACACCCAGAGTAGTCCTCAAACCATCTCCAGGGCTCCCACGCACCTGCCCTGGCCAGGCCGGGCGCAGGGGAAGCGCTTGCCCGCAGGAGCTCCTGGAATCCTCTGCAAGCCTTTGGGAGTTGTTCTCCTTCCCACTTTGAGGAAACTGGGGCACAGAGAGGTTGAGAAACTTGCCCAAGGTCACCCAGCCGGTGAGTAGCAAGCCTGGATTGGAAGAAGGCCCAGCCAGCTCAGTTCACTGCCCAGAGCCGCCAGGGGCAGCCTATGGGAAGCTGGGCATAAAGCCTGTCTTGGGAGTCAGAGCTCGCCAGCTGTGGGACTCTGAACAGGTGAATTCACCCCACCTCTTAGCCGCAGATTCCCCAGACTGCAAAATAGGGTGATTGATGATTAGTATCGTGAGGTTATTTCTGTGAGAATTGAAGAAAATCGCGTATACAAAGCATTTATCGTAGTGTGGGCTAAGATAATGTGGGCCTGGTCACTATTTTCTGTCTTCCTTGCTCCTGCCCCCTCAAAGCCTGGGAGGTGGGACCGTCTTACATCAGGACTCTGGGACCTGACACGCAGGAGGGAAGCAGCAGAAAGTTCTAGAACACTAACTATGGGCCAGATGTTACTGTAAACACTTTACATATATTGAAGCATATTTAATCTTCATGGTACCCAGAAGGCAGGTGCTGTCAGCATCGCCACCTCACTCTTGAGAAAACTGATGCTCAGGGAGGCGGAGTGACTTGCCCCAGGTCGTGTTGCTTGTTAAGAGGAAAGCCAGGATTTGAGCCGGGGTTTCTAAAGCACCGGGCCTCCCCACAGGTCGAGGAGCGGTTCTCCCGGGTGCCGGAGCCGGTCCAGAAGCGCATCGTGTTCTGGTCGTTTCCACGCAGCGAGCGGGAGATATGTATGTACTCGTCGCTGGGCTACCAGCCCCCAGAGGGCGAGCATGACGCCCGGGTGCCCTTCACCCGCGGGCTGCACCTGCTGCAGAGCGGGGCTGTGGACCGCGTGCTGCAAGTCGGTGAGTGGCCCCCACCCCTTCTAGGAGGCCGGGAGGCCCTGAGCAGGCCTGGAGGAGCCGGGAGTTGCAGGGAGGCCTGGGCCAGGGGAGCAGAGGTTCCAGACCTCCGGCTTCTGTGCCCAGGGAGGGTTGTACAAGATATTGTGAGCTCCAGATCAGGGATCTGCCTAGACCTCAGGCAGCGGGCTTAGATGGGGATGAGGGGAAGGATGGTGACCCAGAAAGCAGGGCAAGGGAGGCCCCAGAACTTAGGCAGTGGGGCCCAGCTAAGGGTGGAGGACTGAGGCTGTTCCTAGATCCTAGGTGGAGGCCATCGTGGGGATTGGGGGTAGAGTCTGAGACAGGGTAATGGAAGGTCCTAGATCTCAGACAGCTTTGTGGGGGAGGGGAAGAGGTGGTGAGGAAGAGGAGGGTTTGTCTGAGGTAGCATCCAGGAGTGACTCTAAACCAGAGGTGAGAAGAGGTTCCAGACCTCGGCAGAGGGACCCGTGATGCTTTGGGCTCAGGTTTAGAGCCAGAGGTAAGATTGGTTCTAGACCTCAGGCAGCAGGGGCCTAGGTGAGAGCTGGAGGCAAAGATTTAGAGCCAGAGGTAAGAGGTGTCTTAGACCTCAGGCAGAGAGCCTTGGGTGGAGGTTGGGATCAGAGTTTAGGGATGGTCTCAGACCTAAGGCAACGAGGCTTGGGTGGGAGTCTAGGGTAGAAGTTTAGGATCAGCTGTGATGGGGCACTTAGACTCAGGCAGCGGGGTCCAGTGAGGGGAGGGGGCAGAGGTTTAGAGCTGGAGGTGAAAGATGATTCTAGACCTCAGGCAGCAGGGCCCAGAAGGGGACAAGTAGAGGGTGAGCCAGAAAGCAGGCGAGCCCTGAAACGTGACAGCTGCCATGGGGCAGGCCACGTCTCCCAGCTGGAGGCAGGGGCTCCGTCAGGATGACCCTTCCTGACCCCAGTCAGCCTGGGGGCCCCCTTGCCTGGACATGACCTGGCCGGCCACAGGCTCGGCAACCTCCAGCCGGTATGAGGGAGACGGTATGAGGAAGCCGCCGTCTCCCGGCGTGATGCAGCCAGGGCCGGCTGGGGCCTGAGCTGCCCAACCAGTCGGATGAGCCTGGCATCTGGGCTCCCCAGGGGTCAGGGAGGGGCAGGGGGTGAGGGGGTGACCTGCCCCTGGGCTGCCACATCAGCCGCTCTCCCCCCAGTGTCACAGGCATCTTCCCAGGAAGTACAGGCTCCTGGAGCCAGCTGTATCCATGGCAACCCAAGGGCTGAGAACGTCATCACTATCCTCTTCAGCATCGTCACTATAATACAGTCGTGTTCTTCAGAATTAGAATGTGAGCACGGTTTATTTAGGACATACTGTATGCCAAGTGTTCTAAGCACTTGCCAAATATTAACTCATTTAATCCTCATTACAACGCACGAGGAGGATGTTCCTATTTATTCCTTCTGACAGACTGATGCGCAGAGAGGCCGAGTGCCTCGCGCTGTTGCTCAGCTGGGATCTGCGTGGCTCTTGCCGTGCACGTGGACAAGCACCGCCGTCTCTGGGGTGACCCAGCGGCGACATTTTGGCTTTGGTCTTAGGGTTCCACCTCAGCGGAAACGTCCGGGAGTCTGGGGGCCCCGGGGAGCCCGAGCGCCTCTACCGTGTCTCCATCAGCTTTGACCGCTGCAAGATCACGTCCGTGAGCTGCGGCTGCGACAACCGCGACCTCTTCTACTGCGCGCACGTGGTGGCGCTGTCACTGTACCGCATCCGGCACGCGCGCCAGGTGGAGCTGCGGCTGCCCATCTCCGAGACGCTCTCGCAGATGAACCGGGAGCAGCTGCAGAAGTTCGTGCAGTACCTCATCAGCGCCCACCATACCGAGGTGCTGCCCACCGCCCAGCGCCTGGCCGACGAGATCCTCCTGCTGGGCTCCGAGATCAACCTGGTGCATGGTGAGGGCGCCCGGGGCCCTGGCTCGCGGCAGCCTGCTTGCGGTGCGACGGGCATTGGTCCCGGAATCCTCAGGTCCCCTTGATCCATGAGCGGGGGTGGGGGCAGCGCCCTGGCCTGAGGTCAAAGTCACACACCTAGTAAGCGGCAGATGCTGGATTTGCTGTGGCCCCGGGCAGGTGAACGGTTGGAAATCAGGCAGCGGGGAGAGCCGGAGTGGAGGGAACAAGTGGGAGTTGTGGATGGATGGACGGATGGATGGATGGATGAGTGGATGGATGGCTGGATGGACAGGCGCACTCATGGATGGATGGACGGACGGACGGACAGATGGACAGGCAGACACACGAATGGATGGATGGGTGGGTGGGTGGGTGGACAGGCGCACTCATGGATGGATGGACGGACGGACGGACAGATGGACAGGCAGACACACGAATGGATGGATGGGTGGGTGGGTGGGTGGACAGGCGCACTCATGGATGAGTGGATGGGTGGACAGGTGCACTCATGGATGAATGGATGCGTGGGTGGTTTTTCAGGTGGGATGGATGGATTGATGGACAGGCGGACACACAGATGGATGGATGGGTGGATGGGTGGATGGATGGATGGATGGGTGGGTGGTTTTTCAGGTGGATGGGTGGGTGATGGATGGGACTTGAAGATGGGGTGAGTGATTTGGAGGACTGGATGATGGCAGGAGCGGACCCTGCTCTCCCCAGGCCCGGCCTGAGCTTTCTCTCCCCACCCGCAGGCGCCCCAGACCCCACGGCGGGCGCGGGCATCGAGGATGCCAACTGCTGGCACCTGGATGAGGAGCAGATCCAGGAGCAGGTGAAGCAGCTGCTGTCCAACGGCGGCTACTACGGCGCCAGCCAGCAGCTGCGCTCCATGTTCTGCAAGGTGCTGCGCCGTGTGGCGGGCGGGGGAGGGGCTCGAGGGCCTGGCGCCCCCCCTCATCACCGGTCCCGGCGCAGGTGCGGGAGATGCTGCGCATGCGGGACTCCAACGGGGCGCGCATGCTGATCCTCATGACCGAGCAGTTCCTGCAGGACCCGCGCCTGGCCCTGTGGCGGCAGCAGGGCGCGGGCATGACGGACAAGTGCCGGCAGCTGTGGGACGAGCTGGGTAAGGCCCCGACCCCGGGGCGCTCCCGGGTCTGGCCCTGAGCCCTTCCCCGTCATTAGCACCTCCGACGGAAGAGGCCCCGACCCGGGCTCCGGGGCCACAGCAGGAAACGGGAGAGGGTGGATCCCCGCCTTCACGGCCGACACCTAGCAGACAGACCGGAAACCACCACGAACCCGTTAGACCCGAGTCCGCACACCTTTTCCACAAGGGCCGGACGGTCAGCAGTTCGGCTCTGCGGGCCGTTTGGTCTCGGCCCCGACCGCTCATCTTTGCGGGCTGTTAGTGGGAAAGCGGCCACAGACGCACGTTACCGAGTGGGCGTGGCAGTGCGCCAATAAAACTGTGTTTACAGACACTACTTATTTATTTGAATTTCATATCATTTTCCCAAGTCACAAAATATTCTTCTTTAGATTTATTTCTGCCCTACCATTTAAAAATGTAAAAATAAATCTTAGCCCGTAGGCTGTTCAAAACCAGGTGGCGGGTTGGATTTTCTCCACGGGCTGACCCCCGTGATAGATGCTGAGAGGTTCTGTGGGAGAAAAAGAACAGCCAGGAGTCTGGTGGCTTGGGTTCGAATCCTGACTTCCCAGCTGTGTGACCTTGAGCAACTGAATTTACCTCTCTGTGCTGTAACGTGAACAGATGATGCGTTGTCACCTCAGAGGCTCGAAGTGAGAGCTAAGCAGAGAGCAGTGCCCGCACACAGTAGGCACTCCGTAAGTGTGTGCTGCCACCGTGGGCGTGAATGCTAGCCTCCCCCGTCCCCCCTCACTGCCCTGCCTCCCTCCCCAGGGGCCCTGTGGGTGTGCGTCGTCCTGAGCCCCCACTGCAAACCAGAGGAGCAGGCCAGCTGGCTCCAGCTGCTCGGCCAGTGGGACAAGCTGGACATGTGCCCGCTGGAAGAAGGCAATTACTCTTTCGATGGCCCCAGCCTGCAGCCCACTGCGCCCCTTGGCCCAGGTAGGGAGGGGGTCCCTGCCGGCCCCTCCAAAAACCATCACGACCTCCTGTGGCCCAGCCTGCCCATCATTCCCTCTGGGGGAGAGCACAGGGGGCCCCAGCCTAGCCTGACCCCCGCAACCCGGAGCGGGGGAGTGCCCAGGGCGGGGGCAGGCAGCCCGAGGGACAGGGCAGAGAAAGGCTGCAGATGCCTGTAGTTCTGGGCTGGTCTCCTGACTCAGCTGCCTCCTGGCCATGGAGGCGGGCATAGGGGAACAGAGAGGAAAGGAAAGAGAGAGCCAGAAGAGAGACAGACAGACAGCGGAGAAGAGGACAAGGGATGGGGGATGGGGGGTGGGGAGAGAGATGGAGAGAGGAAAGAGGAATGTGTGGGGGGAGAAAGATGGACAGACAGACAGGTATTCACGGTTGTCCATCCTAGGAGGGGCTGTAATAACTCCCTGGACACACACTCACACACACCTTTGAAGGCTGCTGTGAGGATTTGGGGACGTGATGCACGCCCATTGCTGTGCCCGAAGTCTACCCCCCAGCTGGCCCTCGGTGGGGGGAACCGGCCAAGGCCCCGACTGCGGGGCCCCCCTCACCAGGCCATGCTGGACACCTCTCCTGCAGGCTCGGAGGAGGAGGAGGAGGAGGTGGTGGCTGCAGGTTCCCGCCACACCGTGTTCGGCCGTGCCCTGCAGGCCGGGTCACTGCGCTGGAGCGACCCCCACCTGCAGAGGATCCTGGCCAGCGACTCCTACGGCCCCAGCCTCACAGGCAGCGTGGGCAGCGACAAGCCGACCTTCGACCCCCAGGGCCGCCCACTCTGGCTGGGCGAGCCCTTCCCCACGGCCTGTGCCCGTGTGGACACCCTGCGTGCCCATGGCTACCCCCGCCAGGCCCTGCGGCTGGCCGGCGCCATAGTTAACACGCTCCGGCTGCAGCGGCGACACCAGCTTGAGAGCTACAAGCAGCAGAAAAAAGGTGGGCACCAAGAGCATCGTGTCCAGGGGCTGCAGACACGAATGCCAGCTGCTGGGGGCTGTGGCAACCTGGAGGGTCTGTGGATACCACTCGGGGTCCCACCAGGAAAACCGGACCACTCTAAGATGTCTTGAGCAGAAAGGAGTTTATACGGGGGACTGAGGGCTCACAAAACCACTGGAAGGGCTGCAGGATTGAAAGTCAGGGAAGGTCGGGTTCTAGAACTTGAACTTCAGAAGCACAGAGGTTGCGGCAAACTGCTGACAGCTCAGCTGCTGGCAGCACCTCACTTGTGCACTCTGCACACAGCCGCACACCTGCTCACGGCTGCTGCAGGAGAATAACAGCCTCGTCCTCTCCCACCCGCCGCTCCTCACACAAAGGAGTCTGGGAAATGTAGTTTCCGACCCCTGCCATTCGAGGCGGGCGTCAGCCACATGCCTTTCAGACACGTGGACCCAGTGTGCCCAGATCTTCCGATTTTTGAAGGCAGGCCAGAAATCTGGATTATTTGATGTGGAATTTACTGATTTTTAAACATGGGCAACAATTCAAATTTATATTAGAAAACACACACACACACACACACACACACACACACACTTGTGGAGCATGTCTGTGGACCAGATCAGGGGAGGCAGGAGGGAGCCCACCAGTTGCGTTCTCTTGGTGATGGGTCAGTTATCAGGAAGTTGAACACAGGGTGTAATGGCAACATGGGGTTGCTGGGACCGAGCAGAGCCCTGTCCCAACCTGGAGGCACAGGGAAAGCCCTCCAGAGGAGGTGAGAGCTATGCTGAGATCTTAAGGATGTATAGGAGTTTCCCAGGAGGAGAGGGAGGAACAGTGTTCTAGGTAGAAGGAACAGCATGCACAGGAGCCCAGAGGCAAGAGAGCACTCAGCTTGTGGCAGCAGATTAGAGGGTGGGCTTCCAGTTGGGGCAGGTGGCCCTGAAAGCTGGCTGGGCTTGAGAGAGGTGGGAGGGATTAAGGGTTATGAGGGGAATGACAGTGGTTGGATGTTTTAGAAAGCGCCCAGTTTCGTCCCGGTGTCCTGCCAGGCTGGGGTCTGGCTGTGGGACAGGAGGCCAGGACTATGGAGGCGAGAGCAGCTACAGAGCCCAAGGGGTGGAGAAGACGGCTGCTGGGTGGACAGGTGGTGGTGCAAGGCTGAGCTGGGGGTTCAGGGAGAGGAGGCCCCCGGGGCTTGGGTGAGTGGGCGGGCATTGAGCCCCCTTCCTGCCTGCAGAGCTGCTGCAGAAAGGCTCCACCTGCATCACCAACACCGAAGGATGGGTGGGCCACCCCCTGGACCCCATTGGCTGCCTCTGCAGGGCGCTCCTGGAGGCCTGTCGCCTGGAGGAGGAGACCCTCGCCCTTTACCCAGGTACCCACATTGAGGACCCCCGGAGGAGGTGGGACAATCCCCACCCTTTGGCCACGCTCCTAGCTTTATCCATATAAGGTGGGGCCACACCCCTACCCTTGGTCACGCCCCCTTTCCTATACCCCTAGAAAGTGAGGTCCCGCCCCTACCCTTGGCCACGCCCCCTGACAGGTGTCAGGAGCCAATAGAATCAGCTTCTGAAAGTGAGGCCAGCATAGCCTTAACTGCTGCTAGAAGGTGGGCCCCACCCCCACCCCCAGTCTCCTTGCTCGACATCAAGGGCCCCTGGGGTCCCAGGAAAGGAGGTCCTCTCCAGCAGCTCTGGTGCCCGTCTCCCACAGACTCAGGCCCCGAGAAGCGGAAGGTGGCCTACCAGCATGTGCCCGTGCCCGGGACCCCTGGGGAGTCCTACTTGGCGCTGGCGCTGGAGGTGGCCCTGCTGGGCCTGGGGCAGCAGCGGGCCCTGCCGGAGGGGCTGTACGCCCAGGACAAGGTGGTGCGCCACGAGGAGCAGCTACTGGCCCTGCTGGAGGAGGTGGAGCTGGACGAGCGGCTGGTGCAGGTGCTGCGCAAGCAGGCGGGGCTCCTGCTGGAAGGTGAGGCCCCGTCCCTAGGTCCTGGCCCTGTCCCCTAGTGACCGAGTTGCTGCTGCATCGGGTCGCTGCCCCAGCCCCGCCTCCTGGTCCTTACTGCCCACTGGCGCCTTGACAGATCCTGAAAGTGAGAGTCGGCCCTCGGCCCCACCCCCTAGCCGTGCTGGCAGCCAATAGCTGCTGCGTGAGTGGTGAGGCCCCGCGCCTTGCCATCTGGAGCCAATGGGCCTAGTCGTTGAGGCCCAGCTGGACTTGATTGGCTCTGCCCATGGTGCTGCCGTGTGAGGCCCGGCCACTTAAATCTGGGAGGAGCTATCTTGGCCCCGCCCCCGGGGCCGGTGCAGGCCCAAGTCCTGTGGCCCGACCCTGCATCTGAGTCCTGCCCCACCCCCAAGGCTGCCCAGGGTCTCCTCTTTCTTTGAATTTTCTAGCTTTTCGGTACCAGCCCTGCGCCCCCACCCCCGGACCTCTCTGACCCCTAGACCAGCCGGTCTAGCCTGGGGTCTGCCCATCCGCGACTCAGAGCCCGGGCCTGGGGGAGACCTGTGGAGGGGCGGAGGTGAGCCCACGCCTGGGCACTGAGCTCAGGCTGCCCCTGCAGGGGGTCCCTTCAGCGGCTTCGGAGAGGTGCTGTTCCGGGAGAGCGTGCCCATGCACACCTGTGCCCGGTACCTGTTCACCGCGCTGCTGCCCCACGACCCCGACCTGGCCTACCGCCTCGCGCTGCGGGCCATGAGGTGAGGACAGGCCGATGGCTGGGGGCTCGGCCCAGGGGGCGGGCAGGGGGGTGGGGTGGGAGGCGCACCCGGAGCCCGGTGCTCCGGCCTGAACTCACAGCCTGGTTGATTCAGTCTCCCTCGTGCTGGCGTTCCAGCCTGCCGTGTCCTCTTGATTATTAAATATAAATGTGGACTATTGTTTTGAATTTGAGAAATTTCCACGTGGCACAGGATTCAGAGTCCTTTTCAACGCAGATTTGTCCCAACCTTCCCAAATCTCAGTGGAGGCAGGCAGTGTTACCACTTTATCTATCCTTCAAGAGTAGAGATTTCTGCAAACTCCTATCTGGAAATTGAAAATCCATTCTTCTTTCGAACCCAGGATGCGTCCTGTACCTGTCTTCACTGAGCATTGCATCTGAAAGGCTTTGTCCCGGGGCACAGCATGTGGACCACGGCAGCGTCCGTGTAGGGCCACACCGTGAAACAGCCAGGCTAGAGTTGACAGACATTTACACTGTTTCCAGAAAAACATTGCAATGAGTCACCTTGTTACCATTTCTCACCTGCACCAGCAGATCACAGAAGCAGAATTTTTAAAAGCTCTCTCTGTAGTAAACTATGCCCAACAACTAAAATAAAATCTGTCCCCCATCCTCTGATCCCATCCTCCAGAGACACCTATTAATTTGGGGTGCATCTTCCCAGAATATTTGGAAAGAATAATCTGTAAGAGCCATGATTTAGAGAACACTCTTTTCTGTGCAAGACATTTTTCTAAGCCAGGGGCCAGCAAATTACAGCCCACAGGCTGAATTTGGCCTGCCACCTGTTTTGTACAGCCTGTGAGATAAGAATGATATTTATATTTTCATTTTTTTATTTTTTTTATTTTTTTTTTGTGAGGAAGATCAGCCCTGAGCTAACATCCATGCTAATCCTCCTCTTTCTGCTGAGGAAGACCGGCTCTGAGCTAACATCTATTGCCAATCCTCCTCCTTTTTTCCCCCCCCCAAAGCCCCAGGAGATAGTTGTGTGTCACAGCTGCACATCCTTCTAGTTGCTGTATGTGGGACGCCGCCTCAGCATGGCCGGAGAAGTGGTGTGTCGGTGTGCGCCGGGGATCCAAACCTGGGCCGCCAGCAGCGGAGCGCGCGCACTTAACCGCTGAGCCACGGGGCTGGCCCAATATTTACATTTTTAAATGATTGGGGAAAAAAATCAAAAGAATATTCTGTGACACATCAAAAGTATCTGCAACCCCAGTATCAGTGTCCAGAAATAAAGCTTGAGTGGCACACAGCCGCGCTCATTCATTTATTCGTGTTTATCTGGCTGCGTTTGCGCAACAATGACAGAGTGAGTCGTTGCGACAGAGACCAAATGGCCTGCAGGGGCGAAAATCTTGGCTGTCCAGCCCCACGCAGGAAAAAGGTGCCGACCCCTGATCTAAATCCATGACCCACATGACCCCATAGAATCTTCTAAACAACCTAGCCAAATAAATGTGTTTTCCCGCATTTTACCATAAAGAAACAGGCTTAACTTGTGTCCAAAGTCACACAGCAAGGACACTTAGATACTGTTTGGACCCAGAATAGTCTTGATTCCTGTTCCAGGCTGTTGGTCACATGTAACAACTCTGAAGAACTTTCTCAACACAGATGTCTGTACTGAGCTGCTTACCAGTATACCTCAAGGGGGATGTCGAGTCATTCAACAAACATTTCTTGTTCACCTGCCGTGTACCCCCAGGCATTGTTCTGGCTGCTGGAGACGCAGCAGTGAACAAACAGTCACAAATACCTGCCCTCAGGGAGCAGATTTCAGTGAGAGAGACAGTAAATAAATTAGTAGGTAAATTGTGTTGCACATCAGATGGTCACATACAAGCAAGGGTGGAAGGAGGTGGGAGTAGGAAGTTGCAATTTCACATGTGGCTGGGGGTGTCAGGGAAGAGCTCACTGAAAAATATTTGGGCAAAGACCTGAAGATGGTGAGGGAAGAGCCACAAGGATGTCTGGGAAAGAGCATTGCAAGCAGAGGGAACAGCCTGTGCAAAGGCCCTGGGGTAGGACAGTGCCTGGTTGTATGTGAGGGATGTCGAGGGTAACAGTGCCTGGAGCAGAGTGAGCAAGGGGAGGGGGGCCATGGAGGGATTTGTGGGGGCCACATCAGGACACAAATAAACCCCTCACTCTTTATCAGCCCTTGGTGCGTGAATAGAGCATTGTTTATTTAATCATCCCCGAAGTGAGGGGCATCAACAGCACTGCAGTGAACATCTTGCACACACGTCTTCCGTCTTCCTGGGGGCCCAGGGCTTTGCTGGCCCGAGGGATGGACTCAAGGGCTTGCTTCCCCCCTCACTCCAGGCTGCCCGTCCTGGAGACGGCGTTTCCGGCCGGAGAACCACACCCCAACCCGCTGGACTCCATCATGAGCAGCCGCTTCCCCCGCTGGTTCATCCTTGGGCACCTGGAGACCCGCCAGTGCGAGCTCGCCTCCGCCATGCTGACGGCTGCCAAGGGTGAGGATGGTGGCTGCCCCTCCACCCGCCTCCTCTGCTGCCTTCTCCTTCCTCCTTTCCCTCATTCCCACCCCTCCTTTTTACCCTTTTACCAAGTTCTGCGGTTTTTCGTGAGCACTTCCTACATGCACCAGGCACTCATCTGGGTGCTGAGGATGCGCAGTGAACAAAACCGTCCCAGATCCCGTGCCCTGTGGCTGTACATTCTAGCAGGGTGGACAGACACTAAACAAGGTGGAAAGGTTGACATTAAGCCAAAACGTGAAGGTGAGAGCAGAGCCATGCCATTATCTGGTCTCCTAGTTCGGGCCGCCGTAACAAATACCATGGAACCCCGGACATTTGTCTCTCACAGTTCTAGGGGCTGGAAGTCCAAGATCAGGCACCAGCAGGGTCGGTTCCTGATGAGGGCTCTCTTCCTGGCTTGCAGACAGCCACCTCCTTGCTGTGTCCTCACATGGGGGGCAGAGTGTGAGCTCTGGTCTCCTCCTCTTATAAGGGCACTAATCCCGTCGTGACCTCATCTAACCCTGATCACTCTCAAGGCCCCGCCTCCAAATGCCATCATGCTGGCACTTGGGAATTTTGGGAGGACACAGTTCAGTCCATAGCATCTGGGAAGAGCATTCCAGGCAGAGGGAACAGCCAGTGCAAAGGCCCAGAGGCTGACTGTGCCTGGTATATCTGAGGAACAGAGAGGAGGCCTGTGTGGCTGAAGCTGAGTGACAGAATTCTCAGATCTGGGCTGTTGATAATTACAGTAACAGAAACTCACATTTGTGTGGCTCTTGCCATGTTAAGGCCTCTCCAGGAACGGGCTCCCTGAGGCCCTGTGAGGCAGGTCTCATTGCCTTAGTATTAGCCGTGTTACAGATGGGGCAGCCAGGGCACAGAGAGGTGAAGTGACTTACTTAGGGTCATCGAGCTACTGAGTGGCAGGGCAGGGATTTGAACTCTGGCATTCTGGTCCAGAGTTGATGCCCTTGACAGTTAGGGGTCCAGTGGGTCCCTAGGTGGCTTCCTCCCGCTGGAAGGGGGCAGAGGGGAGAAGGGACAGGGGGCGGTGCTGAGAGTGGTCTGGATCTTCACAGCACCACGGCCAGGTACGCTTTCCCCGCACTCACACCTGTGCACCTGTGTGGAGGAAGCTGCAGCAGCAGGTCGGGAGCGGCAGGGGCTGGTGCCAGGTGTGCGAACCGTGCTCTCTGTCCCTCCTCCATCCCAGGAGACCCCAAGTGGCTGCACGCAGTCCTCAGCTCCATCCAGCAGAACATCCACTCACCGGCCCTACTCTTCAAGCTGGCACAGGACGCCTGCAAGACGGCCACCCCAGCCAGCGCGCCACCAGACACCACCCTGCTGGGCATTGCGCTGGAGCTGGGCCTGCAGGTGACGCCGCGGGAGGATGGGGAAGGGAGTGCTGCCTGGGGGCGGTGCCGGAGTGTGAGGCCCGCCTCTGGGGGCGGAGCCCGAGCGTGAGGTCTGCTTCTGGGGGCGGAGCCTGAGTAAGGGCCACTTGGGGGCGGGGCCCGAGTGTGAGGTCCGCCTCTGGGGGCGGAGCCTGAGCGGGAGGTCTGCTTCTGGGGGCGGGGCCTGAGTGAGGGCCACTTGGGATCGGGGACCAAGTGTGAGGTCTGCCTCTGGGGCCGGGGCCTGAGTAAGGGCCACTTGGGGGCGGGGCCTGAGTGTGAGGTCCGCCTCTGTGGGCGGGGCCTGAGTGAGGGCCTCTTGGGGCGGGGCCTGAGTTGAGGTCCGCCTCTGGGGCGGGGCCTGAGCGTGAGTGGCACCTCTGGGCTGGAGCCGCAGGGCAGCGTCTGTAAGAGTCCCCGGAGTGAAGGAATGGAGTCACCAGTGGGGGTGGGTCTATAAATGAGGGACTCAGTGGCAGAGTCTGAAGATGAGAATCCACTTCTGGGGGCGTGGCTGAGGACAAGGAGAGGGGTCACGGGTCCTGCAGATAGGTGGGGCCACAAGAGGGAGCAGAGCCTAGAGGTGCTGGCCTTGGGGGGGGCGGCCTGAGGCTGGTATCCTTACGGTGAAGGACCACGAGTGGGCGGCGCTGAAGCTGAGGGGGCAGAGCCTGCCAATAAGGAGCTGTCTTGGGGGCGGGGCCTGTAGGGGAAGCCGGCTGAGAGGAAGGGGGGTCACTGCTGAGGGGCGGGGCCTGGGGGAGGGTCCCGAAGGTGACCCAGCCTCTGGGGTGGGGTCGGGTTGGAAGCCGTGGAGGCGGGGCCTGCGGGTGGGTGTCCAGGCCGTGCCCGGGCTCAGCCGAGGCCAGCCTGGGTTCAGCCTGTAGGTGGGGAGGCAGCTGCAGGGTGTGGGATGTTGGGGGGTGGGGCCTGAGGGAGAGACAGGTACGGAGCTCATGGGGGCGGGGCCTGAGGGTGGCGGAAATAAAACATGAGAATAAGGAACAGCTTGGGGTAGGGTTGTAGGATGGGGTGAGACCTTCCCAGGAGAACAAGCAAGCACGGGGCCAGCAGGAGGCGGATCTGGCCTCCGAACAACCTCCTGTGGGGGGTGGAGCCATTGGGGGGAGAGTGGGGGCGGGGCGAGACAAGAGTGGAGCTTTAGGGAGGAGACCCACTACTTAGAAGCTTCCAGAAGGCAGGGTCCACCGGGGGATGCAGCCTCGGGGGAGGGCAAGCAAGGAAGGTGCTTATTGGGGGTGGGACCTGAGGAAAGTGGGGTCTGTAGGGCAGGTGCTTTGTCTGTTTCCCAGCAAAGGGAAGTCTGTTAATGTGAAGCATGGAACTTCCCAGAGAGAAGGGACAGGTTGGCTTATCGTCCAGTAGAATCCAGGAGGCCTCAGAATAACGCAGCCAATAGCAGTAATAGTAATGGCTGGCCTTCGCTGAGCTCTTTGAAGCAGCAGACACTGTGCGAAGAGCGTTACCCAAACCGTTTCTTTCTCACAACAGCCCCATGAGGCAGACGCGATCTTCATCCTCGTTTTACAGATGAGGAAACTGAGGCCACTCTCCCGGATTGTATGGCTCATTGAGTCAGCCCTTAGCTCCCAGGTCTCCCGGGCCCCTGGGGATCCGCAGCCCCCGGAGGCCAGCCCAGGGTTTTGGGTGACCCCTCTCCCCTGCGACCCTGCAGGTGATGCGCATGACCCTGAACTCCATGACCTGGCGGCGGAGGGAGATGGTGCGCTGGTTGGTCAGCTGTGCCACGGAGATGGGTGAGTCCCCGAGGGGACCGGCCACCCGCCCCTGGTCTGCTCCTCTGGCTGTCCCCGAGGGAACCGGGCAGGCACAAGAGAGAAGCAGAGATTTTTCCCCAACTCAGGCCAGTGCTCAGGGCCAGGCCGGGAGGGAATGTCGGGTGGGGGCCCAAGCTGGACAAAGGCCTGGAGGCTGGCCGGGCTAACGTGGCTTGGGGAAGGGATGGTGGCTCCAAAGCTTAGCCCCACACGCATGTTCCCACCCAGTCTGGCTGCCCCTGCTCCTTTGGAAAGGTAGAGCGTAGCTTCTGTCCGTCTTGGGGTGGAGGGGAGGGGCGCGTCTTCAGCCCGGGCTGGTGGGGATGTAGTGTCGGGGTAAAGCCACGCACCTACGGCCACGTCCCTGCCCCTCTTCCTGAGCGGTGTCGCCCTCTCACCTCCTCCAGGCCCACAAGCCCTGATGAACATCATGCAAAATTGGTACTCCTTGTTCACCCCGGTGGAGGCGGCCACCATCGTGGCGGTGACGGGCACCTCCCACGCCACGCTGCTGCGGCTGCAGCTGGACGCGGCCCGGCGGGAGGAGCTGTGGGCCTGCGCCCGCACCCTGGCCTTGCAGTGCGCCATGAAGGACCCGCAGAACTGCGCCTTGCCCGCGCTCACCCTGTGCGAGAAGAACCACGCGGCCTTCGAGGCGGCCTACCAGATCGTGCTGGACGCCGCGGCCGGCGGCCTGGGCCACGCGCATCTCTTCACCGTGGCGCGCTACATGGAGCACCGCGGCCTGCCGCTGCGGGCCTACAAGCTGGCGACGCTGGCCCTGGCGCAGCTCAGCATCGCCTTCCACCAGGACAGCCACCCCGCCGTCAACGACGTGCTCTGGGCCTGCTCGCTCAGCCACTCGCTGGGCCGGCATGAGCTCTCGGCCATCGTGCCCCTCATCATCCGCAGCGTCCACTGCGCCCCCATGCTCTCGGACATCTTGCGCCGCTGGACCCTCTCGGCGCCCGGCCTGGGGCCGCTGGGGGCCCGCCGGGCTGCCAAGCCGCTGGGCCCCGACCGGGCGCCCCTCTGCCAGCTCCTGGACGCCGCGGTGGCGGCCTACATCGCCACCAGCCACTCCCGCCTCACCCACATCAGCCCGCGGCACTACGGTGACTTCATCGAGTTCCTGGGCAAGGCCCGGGAGACCTTCCTGCTGGCGCCTGACGGGCACCTGCAGTTCACACGGTTCCTGGAGAGCCTCAAGCAGACCTACAAGGGCAAGAAGAAGCTCATGCTGTTGGTGCGGGAGCGCTTCGGCTGAGTGGTAGCCGGCGGCCAGCAGGCGTGGGGCCCCCGCCCCGCCTGCAGGCGCCCGCTCCTGGCGGGGGCCTCGACGCTGGAGGCCCCCGGGGCGTTTCAGTATTAAGTCAGGGAAGGAGCCCGGCTGGAGCTAGTGGTCTTGCCTGCCAATCCCCCAAGCCCGGAAGCGGTAGGAGGCAGGGGTCCTGCCACACGCGTGCCTAGGAGTGTGCGAGCGAGTGTCTAGACTCTAGGATCAGAAGCCATACCACCACCCAGAGGCCTGGAAGGGGGTGTGTGCTTGGGCAGCTGGTATGACCCCACGTCAGACACCCCAAAAGCAATAGGCAAGCACCCCCTCCCCAAAGTCACAGGCCTACCTTGGGCTGGGTTGGGGCATAGCGGGCTGGGAGGCAGGCCTTTCCAGAAACGGGCTCTCAAAAGTCCATGTAGCAGACCCTCCCCGCGCCCCACTGGGTGGCCAGGGCACTTGTGTTAGGGCGTCTGGATCTCCTTTTGTCTCCTCCCCTCTCTGCCTCAGGGGCCCTGTTCCACAGCCGCGTGCCCCTCCAGGCTGCCCAGCTGGGACCAATGGCTCACCCCCACTGAAGGATTTGAAGAGGCCTCAGGCCTCGGCCACATACCTCACCCCCGTCCGGCCAGGACTCCCGTTCCTGTGGGGCCAGGGTCCCAGGGCGGCTGGGGGGTCATTGCTGTCCCTCCCCTACCTGTCAGTCACTGGACATACAACTCAGGAACAGAGCCAGGCTCACGCTGTCCTCCAAATCCTGTGTCAGGAGACAAGCACAGGCGAGCCAGGGCCCCCGCCCCGATCTGGAAGGGAAAGAGGCTGGCATCCCGCTCTCTGCCTGCCTCTTTCTCTCCCTTCCCATAGTTTTCTGCGTTTGGCCTGCCTTTCTGTTTGCATCTCTAAGTCCCAGCTGCTGTCTCTCTTTGGCCTCGCCCCCCCACCTGACCTTGGCCCAGGGAGGTTGGGGAAGTCTGTCCCATCCCAGTCACTCTTCTCTATTTCCTCCTCTTGTAATTAAGGACAAAAGATCACATCATTTTGTAACTTTTTTCTATTTATTGAACCATATATTGTATTTTCTTTTTCCTTTTTTTTGAAAGATTGAACACACATTTTTCTTTTATTTTGAGAGTGAGGTGTGTCCCCACCCCACCCCACCCCAGGCCCCAGCCAGGGCCCCTGTTCCCTGCACGGGAGACCTCCAGCCTCGTCTCCGGGCACAGCCTCCACAGAGGGGAGCCATGGAGGCGCCGGCTAGTACATCCATCCAGTGGTCGTGGTGGGCTAACAGCAGGCACGGGGGAGAGCTCACCGTGAGCGAGCCCTACGCGGAGTGCCCACACCTGTCATGTTACAACGCCTGTCACGGTAGCCCTCAGGAGGGCTATCGTGCCCATTTTACAGACGAGAAGATAGAGGCCTCGACGTTTAAGGGACGGGTACCCATTTTAGGGAGCGTCGGCGGGACATAGTACCTGGCTGGAGTGGCTGACCCTGCCCAGCCCAGGCCGCGAGGCCCTTGCACCACTGGGAATGGCCGCTAGGGGGTGCCCTGGCCCCAGACACCCGCTACGGATGATACTCGTCTCCAAGTCGCTGAGCACGGGGTGGGGCGCAGCGTCAAGTGCTGGGTGCAGCTAGGTGGGGAAGACACCCCCGAAGGCGGGAACCCTGGGCTTAGACCAGGCCCAGTGGGCGGGGCCCCGGCCGCGGGGAACGAGGCGGGGGCGTGGTCAGGGGCATGGCCGGGGCGTGTCTGGGCGCCTGCACCGCGGACGAGGTTCCCAGTCCCCAAAGAGAGTGAGAGGTCTGGGGGACGGCGGGAAGGCCCTCTGTCTCCTTCCCGGGCTCCCCGAGAAGCGCCTCCCTCGGGACCTTCCTGCCTGTAGAGACCGAGGGGCGACGGACAGACCGTCTGGGTCACCGTCCGGGCCGGGGCAGGCGAGGACAGAGGCTTCCCGGAGGGGCGGGGCCCGGAGCGCGGCTGGGCGGGGCCGGCCGCTAGAGGGCGCCGAGGCAGCGCGCGCAGCCGGGGGTGGGGCTTTGGCGGCGCTGGGCACGGCGATTGGCTCGTGGCTCCGTCCTCCGATCGAGGGGACCAATTGGAAGAGGCCCCACCTCCTTCCCCGCCCCCGTGTTCCCGCAGGTATGCGCGGGCGGACCCGAGCGGCCGGCGCGCTCACTAGCGCCGCCTGGAGGGTGGGGGTAGCAGCCGGGGTGCCCGGCGTCGGCTTCCGCCCCTGGGCTCCTGGCCGCCTCCAAATGTAGTCCTCGGTCCTGGGGCGCCCGACAGATGTCCCCCACGGACCGGTGGCGCCACTAGGGTCCCAGTCACACGCAAATAAATGTCTCTGTGTCACACTCTCCAGCCCAAGTTCCCTGCCAGCACTGTCAGATACCAGGCACCCCAAATCCTCCTCCCAGGCCTGAGTCACCCCTTATGTCTCAGTTGCCCCCAAATGTCACCAGCTCAGGTCCCGCGTATCTCCGAATGCCCAGTGTTTCCCTCAGGGCGCCCCCCACCTTAGATTGGGTCCCATGCCCCCTCCACCCTGGGCATTGGGCCTTCTGCATCACAGCCCGTTTACCACGTCAGCCCCGAAAGTCAGTCCCTCCAGTCCAGAGTTTCCCTCGGGGTCACTCCCCAGGCCCAGGACACCCCTCAAGGTCACCTTTCCACCCTCTCCGGCCATAGACTAAATTGCCACCTTCCCCAGAACAGGTGGGGCCTTCCTGGGAACAGGTGGGGCAGGGATGGGGATCCTGTGAGACCAGGAGCCCCGGGTGCCGGGACAGTAAATTCAGGCTGATCAACCCTCCCGAGGAAAAGCCGGAACTCCAGGGATGGAGGCGGGAGTGAGTCACAAACCACCAGACCTGCAGGAATGAGGCAGCGTTTATTTAACCGGACAGCAGGCAGGACACACAGCACAGACGGCCCCAGGCTTCTGTCTGCCACCAGGAAAGGGTACGCTGGGCGAGCCCCGACAGCCTGGGGGCTTCCCTCTGCTTCCCCAGTCCCATCCCGAAGAGAGCCCCATCTCATCTGATAGTGGACAGAGCCCCAACTTTCCACGCCCTGGGGCCACCTGAGGACTGAGCAGGCCCGCCTGTGTCCTTCCTGGGCCCACAGAGACTCGTTCTCACCCCACGTGCCGGGAGAGTGTCCCAGCTCCACCCCGAGGTAGGAAGCAGCAGGACTCAGGAAGAAGGCAGGCACGCTTAGGTCAGGCCAGCCTGGTTCCGGAAGCCCGGAGTTGGCATTTAACGGTCTGGGGGCCTAAGGGAGCTTCCTCTTGGGTAACTGGCTGCTGGGAAGGGGCAGGCCTGCCCTGTGCCCCCACCAGGCATGGGAGAGGAGGGGCCAAGGCTCCAGGCGGAGAGGGTCGTCCAGGCAGGGACACAGCTGGCTTCCTTTTTTCATGGAAGGGCTGCTCACCGCCCCGGCCAGTCCTTCCTGGGAGCACGGCCCAGCCATAGGTGGGTCTAGGGAGGGTCCCCAAGTGCATAGTTGGGGGAGGGGGCCTGCAGCAGGCAGCTGGGTCCACCCCCCCCACGCCCAGCCCTCCCCAAGTCCCCCTCCAGACACAGGCCTGGGTCTGGGCCCTCGTCTGCTCCCCAGGCATCAGCCCACCCAAGGCAGGCAGGGGCCGCAGGCTCCGAGGGGGCTTGACTCCTGTTCCTGCTGAACTGAGCCAGTCTGCACAAATCAACTGTGTTTCAGCTCAGTAGGCACGGGAGGCAGACCCGGGGAGGCCAGGCAGGCGCAGGACGGGCGGGCAGCAGCGGGGAGAGGCGGCAGGGCCAGAGGAGGCGGGGGCCCGGGGGGCGGAACTTAGCCACTGTGAACACGACGTGGTGTGGACCCTGCTCACAAGCAGCTAAGCCCTGCTCCCCAGGCCAAACGAAGGCAGAGGGGGCTCTCTGCCACCCCATCCCCATCCCCATCCCCGGGCAGTGTCCTCGGTGGTGGCCGTGGCGGCGGCAGTGGTGGCCCCAGAGGTAGGGCTCAGGGTCAGTTGGAAATCCCTGGCAATGTGATTTGTGACAAGCAGCAAATCCCATCCCCAGGAACCCCAGCTGGCCATGGCACAGGGGTGGGGGAGCGCCGGGCGGGGCCCGCGGCTGGCACCTGGGGGGAGAGAGAGAGCAAAGGAGGCGATGAGATTTGAGGACATCTGTCCTCCCGCTGGGGCCGTGCAGCAGCAGCTGAGGGGAGAGCTGGACCACCAGGCTGGACGCCCCCACCCCGGCCGTGCCCTCAGTCCCAGGCCCAGAGAGGCAGAGATGCCCAAGGGTCCCTTTCGGCCACGGAGGCTGCAGGAACTCCAGAGCCAGGTCCCCCCGTTCCCCCCCCCCCCACGAGTGCTGAGTCCTGGCAGGCTACATGGGGCCATGAGGAGAGGAAGCCGAGGGGGTGGCGGCAGGCGGCTGAGGAAGTGATCTCACTCCAGCTGGCGCCACTTCCTAGAAGCCTGAAGGGCAGGAGGAAACCACCAGGCCTCCCCCCGGCCCCGTCTCCTCAGGCTGGGCCTCAGCCCGCACCCACCAGAGCGGATGCCTGCAGCGGGCGCCCAGCTCTCCCCCGGGCACAGGCGCCCCCAGGGTGCCGGACCCAGGCTGGAGGTGCAGATCCCCGCTTGGCACTTTCCCAAATGCCCTCGGAGCCTCAGTTTCCCCAGCTGTCAAACGGAGCCAGGGGCCCCCACCTCGTAGCACATGGAGGTTTCACCGAGAGGGCGTATGTCATTCACCAAGTGCCCTGCCCCGGGACACCTATGGGATTTGTGGGGCCCAGTGCAAAATGAAGAGACGGGGCCCCTTGTTCACGAATTAAGAATGTCAAGACATTGACAGCAGAGCATTCGACCAAGCTCCAGGTCCTTCTGCCCAGGAAGCCAGACCAGTGTTCAGTAAGCAGAGATCTCCCTTCTGCAAAGCCCTGCGGCCAGGAGACCCCAGCTCTGGAGCTAGTTCGGGGGGATTTGAACCCTGGCTCTGTGGCTTCCTAGCTGGGTGACTCTGGGAAAGTCATTCAACGTCTCTGGGCCTCCGTTTCCCATCTGCAAAGCAGGGGTGATGTCTCAGTAAGGATCTCATGAGTGATACGTGTCATGAGGATGGGGCTGCGCTGTCATCATGAACCAGGCAGAGACAGGAAGGATGGTGGCGGGGGGCCGCCGCACTCGGGTAGGGCCCCAGCGCCCGGATCCGGTGGCACCCACCACTGGGAGACAGGTGGAGAGAGATGTCCTGCCCTGTCCCCGACCCCTGCCACACACACACACCCCCCCCCACCCCGCCACCTCCCTTCCCCTCGGGCCCCAGCGCAGCCCTGGCCCCTCAGGGTCTGGGGGCACCAACCGGGAGCGGACGAGGCCCCGCAGGGCGGCTGGCCTCCCTGGGCCGCCTCCGGAAGTGAGACAGCACATTCGTGTCCCAGGGACGAGAACGGGAAGGGCGGCCATTTGGCCAGGACCGTTTCCTGTGGGGTTTCCCCTGCACAGAGCCCCGGGCCGGGGCCAAGGCCGCTCCCCATGCCCGCAGGCACAGAGGGCCGGGGTCTCGCTGGCGGGGCACTGCCACGCCGGTGCCCAGGAGCTGGGCCCGTGACTGGAGCGTGCCGCTCGGGCTCGGGGGAGAGGGCGTCCGGGAGGGCCAGGCTCCCGGCAGCGGAGGCGCGGGGGAGGGCGCAGGGTGCAGGCCGGGCCGCCCGATGGAGGGATGCGGGACGTAGGCCTGCGTCTGCTCCGCAGACAGGGCGTGTAGGCAGGAGGCAGACGCAGCACGCAAGTCGCCACCCCCCACCCCACGCTCCAAGCATGAATCAGGGCAGCTTCCGCCGGGGGCGCCACCACCACCGCCCCCAAGCCTGGTCCCCAAATACTTTCCACCCTCTCAGAGCAGCTGGGATCGGAAAATACCACGGGCTGCAGGCCCCGCCCTGCCGCCGCCGCCCGCCCTCCCAGCCTGTCACTAACGCTTTGCCTAATGGGCCCAGACTCTCCGCAGAGGCTCCCTGGGCCGGGCCGAGAGCCAGCCGCCGACCTGGGCTGCCCAGCCAAGGGCTGCCTGCCCTCCAGCCCCGCGCCCCTCACCCAGAGCCCAACGCAGCCACCATGACGGCCATCCAGACGGGCAGCCCTCGGAGGCTGGCACCCGGGACGAGGGGCAGGCATTGCGAGTGGGTGGGCCCTGCTGCCCACCCAGGGCTGGGGGGAAGGGGGCAGGCCCAGGCAGGGGTGAGTAACCGAGGGCTGAATCACTTGTTATAAATAGGGGAACCGTGCAAGTCACATCCCAGCCCCCATTGCGCCTGGCCACACCGCACCACCCTCCAACCCCTGCCCTCAACTGTGACCCCCTCAGGCCAGTCACGGATTCCCAGGGCCCCTACCATCCACACTGTGTGCCCTTAACTGAGGGGTACACCCCACTGCGGGTCCACCTCTGCCTTACCCCAGATGGGCCCATGTCCCACTCTAGCCTGGCTTTTCAGGGCCACTGGCCTCGAGGGCAGTCACTGGCTTCCGGGCCCCGTCCTCCGCCCTCAGCACCCCGACAATTCCCAGACCCAAAGCTCGGGGTCCCCGGGCTCCCCAAGGCATTCCCAGGGTGTGGGTGACCACGGTCCTGGATGGTGACGCCAGACCAACGCCACAAGGAGGCCAAAGGGCTTAGCATCTCAGAAGTCGGGTCCCTGGCCCCTCACCACCCAGGCCCCCATCCCAGACCCCCCAGGCCTGCTCTGCCCAGGGCCACAGCTCAGTGACCACACCCAGGGTGGCGCCAGCTCCCGCACCCTGGGGCACGGAGCTGCTGGAGCATGACTCAGCCGTGCCCAGCATGGCGGCGTCCCTCTCTGCCCACGCTGCTGCCCTCCTCACCCGTCCTGCCGAGGGGACCAGCCTTCCCAGACACACCTCCATGTCCACCAGGGCACTCGATGGCAGGAGGGAAGGTGGCCAGGGTGCCCCAAAAGGGATCTGAAGGCCAGAGCCTGCCTGGGACGGGAGGGGAACGGCTCCCAGTGCTCCCTATTTACAGATGGAGAAACTGAGGCCCAGAGAGATTCGGAACCAGGCCAAGGTCACGAAATACGTCTAACAAAAAGCCAGGCCTGATCCTCGCATAAAGTACCTCCAAAGGAGAGGAGGACTGGCGGCCCAGCCCAGAGAGGCCAGGAAAGCATTTTCTTAATACTGCCCAGGGTTCCTGGCGGCATTCTTCACCACGAACAGACACCCCACCCAGCCTCCCGAGGTGAAGGGCACGCTCTGAAAAATGCCTTAAGGTGTACCAAAGCACCACCTGGCCCATGGCGAGCAGGTCACCCACTGTCCCCACGGGGACGGTTACCCTGAGATGCAGACGGGACGGGGGTCTGCCCCGCAGCTGCGGCCTGCACAGAACATCTGGCCTCCACTTGCAACAGGCAGGGCTGGTACAGGGGTCCCTGGGAGGACCCCCGAGCATCCGCCTCCGCTGTTTGTCTCCAGCGAGCAAGGGTCTGCGGAGACTCAGAGGCCGGGCCAGCACAGACAGGCCCGACCCCCCGGACACGCCCTGTCACGCATGTGCTCCGCGTGCCAGCCCCAGGCCAGGCCGGCAGCTATTCTGGGGCCCCCTCTAGGCCCACAGACAAGGCCTGTCAGTTGGGGTCTTGAGAGAGCTCCCAGAGGACGTCCTGCAAGGACAGAGGGCCATGGGCGCCTCCGGGGCACTAGGACAGAGCTGGCAGCAGGCCCCGGGCCCATGCCTTCCCAGGACGGCGGCATGTAGACACATGCGCCCAGGCCAGCCTGGGCAGGGCGTGGGGGCCAGCAGACAGGCTGTGTCTCACATCGCCGCGCCCCTGAGCCTGGACACCTGTTGGTACTGCCCTCCAGCTCGAGCTGGCAGGGCAGGGCCGCCAGAGGACCCTCCTCGTGCCAGGGGTCCCACAGCCCAGCCTCACCTCGTGCACCAGCCATCAGGGGCGAGCAGCTGGCTGGGGCTGGCGCAGAGAGGGGCAGGTGACAGGAGCCAGCTGCAGCTCCGAGGCAGCCAGGAAGCCGTGGGGTCGGGGCCTGGCTGGGCGGCAGGGAGAGGCGGTGCAGTCCAGTCCAGGCCTGGGGTCAGAGGTCAGTCCAGGGCTAGGATGGAGGATCGGGGTGCAATCTGGGCCTTTCACCCTCCTCCTGTCGCCCAAGGGCACGGGGACCCTGAGCTACACAGGGCTGGGAATCAGCCCTCCAGGAATCTCCCAAACCTGGCCCCCTCTGCAGAATGAGCGCTCTCTCCTAGGCTAGGAGAAGCCAGGAGGGAGGGCAGGGGTCCCCCAGTCTCCCCAGAGCCAGGGCGGCACTGCCGGGCCACCGCCCGCCCTGCTGGTGGAAGGCCTTCCCGGGCTCAGGGACTCGCCGGCTGACATGTCAAGAACTTAAACCAGTGTCTCCCCCCTCAATCCACAGAACTCTGGGAGACCCCCCCCGCCCCGTTCCTCCAGCCCCATCCCCGCCAAAGCCCAGACAGGCATCCCTGGGACCAGGCGCCCGCATATCCACCCCCACCCCCAGCCCCGGCCCCTGCCCTCCGCCCTGCGGCCTTCTCCCTGCCCACCTCGACCTGCCCGGGGCGCGTCAGAACCCGCCCTCCCCACCGCGCGCTCCCGGGTGT